ATGAGAGCTGGCATAGAACTGTGAAGACATGAAATGCTTGGGGTACATTTTTGAGAGCCAGGGAAGTAGTGAGGAGAGATGTTGAGAGTCATATTGTTTAAATGGTGGGTCACCTGAGGCGGTGGTCCAAAATTCATGGGTAAACAGAGGGCTGGGGCAGAGGCAAGAGGGCACCTGAGACAGTCCCCGTTTTTCTTATTATTTAGTCCAGGCAGAGCCTAGGTATTTGTCTATAGCTACCAAAAAACAAATAAAAAAATAATAATAATAGAGACTTTTGATCCAATGTGGGGATTTCACAGTCTGTTTTGTTTTTCCTCTTGGTACCGTTCTGCTTCGACATAATAGCAAATCTGTTTATGTTTACAAAGAGTTAGCTATGGATCCTGCTTCTGGAGCAAAACTCAGACAAGGACTTAGTAAATCTTCTAAAAAAGATTAACTGCTAGAGGCCAGGTAAGACAAGAACAAACAAAAAGCCCTCTAATCCAAGTGTTGCTGATCATCTAATGTGCAAGAAACAGCTAATGAACCTTCAAGAAAATGGATCCATGGCAGGTAAACTAAAGAGAAATTTGGGCAAACCATGAGTTGGGATAGCAAAATATGCTCTTGAAACTTATTCTTTTGTTAAACGTACAGTTTGAAAAGGCTATTCAGTCTTTTAATTCTTAATAGGAAAGGGGAATGATGCCTCACTTTTGACCTGGAGGAAAAGGAACAACCTTTTCCAAACACATTCCCTTCAAAAAGGGTAATTCCCTGAGACTGTGAATTGTTTGTAAAACAATTAAAAATCCAAAGAAGCCTGTTAACATTCTCAACGTGGAAACAGTGATTTTCTAAAGTAAATGCATTTTCTTTCTGCTTTCAGACTGGCTCCCTGAAACTCATCATCCTAGATGGCAGGGTCTCCAGGATGCCACCTAAGGGGAAGGGACAGTAGCAGATGCCTGTTTACACGCCCATGATTGTTCAAGGCATCACTCAGAACAAGTAAAACTAGCTTCAATTTTTTTCCTTATTTACTCCCTTCAATTTTAAAAACAAAACCATTAAACACATCAACCTGTACGAATGCTTGATTTAAAGACTCACTTGAAGATTTTTTTTTAAATTGGCTTTTAAAGATAATTTTGCTTTGACTGTAGAACCTCTTGTAAAATAGTCACTGGAGTACTAGCATTATTTACTTACTAGGACAAGATTTTTTAACTAGCTTCGCCCTATAGTAGCTGTAAGATCCCAGCTTTATTTGCATCTAAGTAGATATTAAACTATAACTAGTAATGACTCCTATTTTTAAATGTTCATCTATATACCATGTAGAATTTTCTCACAAATACCAGTCACAGAGACTATGTTTTGGGGAAAACACTGAAGTGGAGAAAAGGTTACAAAAACCTTCTTCTCCTGTGGGAAGAATGTTTTAAGTGGTCTCTTGCCATTTATTTATCATGGTCAAATCACAAGTCATCTGTTCATTTCTTTACCATTGGTTTATACAGCTCTGTTGGGAGGTGACTGAACTATTGCTTCTCTGCAGTATTAAAGGTCAATAAGCTGCTTTGTACAGAGTCATTTATAGTTATACTTTTTTTTTTTTCCTTTTTGTCTTTTTTTGTGACCGGCAACGGATCGCAACCCTCAGTGTCGCGCCCGTACCGGACCAGGACCGGCAACAGGATCGCAATCCTCGGTGTTGCACCCGCACCTCGCTCAGCCAGTGAGCGGGAACCGGTCTGTATGTGGGATCTGAACCCTCGGTGGGAGCGCCGCCGCGCTCCCAAGCGGCACACTATAGCAGTGCACCACCGGGCCAGCCCCCTATACTTATACTTTTTAGCCTAAGAACTTTATTCTTCTTAAACTCAGGGAATTTTAATTATGAAAATTAAGCCATTTTTCCTGTCTAAATTTAAGTAGGACAATCTCAAGCTATCCCCACTTGTTGTGCAGCAAACTCATCGTAATTCTTATGATCTGTAGTTTGGGGACCATGTGCCAAATGCTATGTTTTGTGCTCAGGAAAATCAGCTATGCGTTCTGGAACTGACTGGAGACTGCATGAGCCATAAAAGTGTTTGTGGGGCCGGCCCGGTGGCGCACTGGAGAGTGCGCCGCTTGGGAGTGCGGCGGCGCTCCCGCCGAGGGTTCGGATCCCATGTGGAGACCGGTTCCTGCTCACTGGCTGAGTGCGGTGCAGGCGCAACACCGAGGGTTGCGATCCTGTTGCCGGTCAGTAAAAAAAGACAAAAAGGAAAAAAAAAAGTGTTTGTGGAAGCTTCTGTAAATGAGTGTTGGGAGGTTTTAGCTGAGGTGAGCTACTGCTCTCTTCCTGCTCTGGGAGATTATCTTCCCTGAGAGGAAAGAGGGGATATGGGGATTGACTTAGACACCCAAGAGCAGTGGATTCCTACCAGTGAAGTAACCTATAACACTTTGTTCTCATTTCCTCCCCTCTGGTTCAACTGTAATGTAAGCACCCCAGTCTGCCTGACAGCTGGATCCCATGCTTTAAGCTTCAGTATGTCAGTTCCACATGCTCCAGCCCAAACCTGGGTAGCCAGTTGCCCTTTATGGCCATCAGCATCATTGTTGAGGGCTGGGAGCCAGGTTTTCTCACATTTGGCCAACAGGCTTCATGGACAGGCTTATGAACTCAGGCTTCCCTTTGCTTCCACCCCCACCCTATTTAGTGGTGAAACAAAAATGAATAGGCTTGTCAGATTTAAGGAGCATAATACTTTCTGAGGAAATCCCAATAAGGAATAAAATTTCTAATTTGTACTAGAAATTAATAGTAAACACCATTGTAAAACTGGATCATGGTAGCCCCGGGTAGACTAAACTCTGGTAGCTAGTATTCTAACCTATACATCAGAAATACCTTACATAACATTACAGAAGGATTCAGAATGTTATACAGTGTTTCGAGAAATAAGTTCTTGAGTGCTGTGAATTTAACTGAAGTGTGTAAGCTTCTGCCTTAAATCATAATTATTTTACTCAAAAAAAGATAAAGTTTCTAAAAGATGCTGAGTAGAGGTCAGAATAGTAGTTTCCATGGGGGAAGAAATGACCAGGAGGGGGCATCAGGGCGCTGAAAATGTTTTCCATCTCGTCTGAGTGTGGTTCTTGTCGACACAGGTGTAAATATGGAAAAAGTAATCAAGTTGTATTGCAAGATTTGTAAAGTTTATTATATGTAAGATATATATGTTTATGAAAAAGAAAGCCTCTAAAAACAAAAGACAAAGAAGCTTTTAAAAAGGTTAGGTTTTACATTTTTAAAATTCATTAATAAGATACCAAATTCAAGAGACAGATTACAGTTATATTGTAAAATGTAATCCTCTTTGAATAAAAGCTAATAATTACTTAAACTGATGAATTACAAATGCATTTATTTATTGGTGATTAAAAACGATACTTAGGAACTTAAGCAGCTTGAGTAGTAATTTAAGCTAGACAAAGCAAATTCTTGGTTTATATATATATATATATAATTCCAGTAATATTCTCTTAAATTCCTGTTAAAAATATAATCAATATTAAAGTCAGCAAAATGCCTTTGACTGACGCCTGGATTATTTTACCGCTTAATCTGGTTACACAGTGATATATATATATATTTTTTTCTGTCAGATGTAACTGACAACCAGTTTAGTCTTTAAGATAAATGAAGTGATAACTCACATTGTAGCATCTTGTGGAAAATATTCAAACTACACTTAAAATGCTGTTTTAAAATGGAGAAATCTATTGCTCCACAAGAAATTGTTTCTGTAAAACTACAGGTTGGCTATGATAAGAGTAACTAAACTACATCCAACCCTGAAGGTAGAAAAATCCCTGAAAAGAAATACACAGCCTAGTTATAACATACCATATGAAGGTTATTTTCTTCTTTAAAAAATTCTCCCAATTTGGAGATATCCAGACCTTTCCATAGTTCCCTTACTAGGCAGTGCCACATAAAGTTACTTAGTTAACATCATTATGAGCATGGCTTATGATTAAATTCAATATGACAAACACTTATATATAGCAGCCGTTGTTCTGGATGTTGGTTATGATGGTATTTGCAGTTCGATTAAAGAACACGCGTCCATTAAATTTGGTACAAAGCATGAACACTCAGGACAGATTGGCACAATACATGCAGTTCAAGAGTTCTCTTATCTCAAGCCAGTCATCACTGAATAAGCCATATTCCCAGTCCTGTTCTCCAAATCGTTCCTTGTATTGTAACTGATGTTTAAAATGCTTCTTAAAACATCTTCCAGAATAAGAAAAATAGGCTTTTAAAAACCAGTTATCTGAATGCATGATGGAAATGAGGCAGGATAGCAGCAGAGCCCGTGCCAGCTGAGAAAACATGGGGGATGGGGGGAAGGGGTAGCTGGCCCAGGCTTACGGTGCCCACAGCTATTGGAGGTTCTTGCTGCTGCTGCCCCAGACAGCCCAACAGGTGGGGCAGAGACTCCCCAGGCGCCAGGGTGAGGGTGCTATTCCCAAAGGCATTTTGGGTAGCAGGAGGCGGCAGCTGCCAGAAGCCCAACAGGGGGGTTAGTTCCAGAGAGGCAGGTATTGTTAGGTTCACAGCATCTGCAGGCAGCTCCTTGGGCAGGCTGACTTTACCAGCACTTGCCTTAGCCAGATCAAAACCTGGGTTGAGCTTGTGAGGTGACTGAGGCTCTTGCAGAGGCAATTCCTCAAACAGGCTGATATTGCAAAAACCTTTAGTATCTGCTTTGAGGGGCAGGCTTGCAAGTGGGGGGTATGAGGTAGAACCGGTGTTGTACTTGTGATTCTGAAGGGTGGGAGGAGGAGAGTCGGGGGACACTGAGGGGTGCAGGGAGACAAGGGACTCTGGCAGTGGCTGTATAGGCTGGATGGCTGCTTCTGGGGGACTGAGGGTCAGGCTGTGTACCTCAGCTGGCAAGCTACTTGCAAACCCATTCTGGGCAGGGGCCCCTATAGGGAAAGGAGACAAGGCAGCAGCCTTCAGTTGAAATGAAGGCGAGATGGTGTGGAAGGTGCTCAGAAGGTCTCCAGCCTGCAAACTCTCTCTCATCAGCTCCTGGGAGTGTGTCTTCTTGGTATGCCGTGTGAGGTGGTCTTTGCGCCCAAATCTCTGGGCACAGAACTGGCACAGGAAGTCCTTGCATCCTGTGTGAACCACCAGGTGGCGTCGCACATCTTTCCGGGTGTAGAAGCATCTTTCGCAGTGGTCGCACTGGTGCTTCTTCTCCCTGGGTCCACTGTGGGGCTTTTCTTCTGCATGGGTCTTGAGGTGGTCTAGCAGCACCTCGGTGCTCTCTAGCTCCAGGGAGCAGACCCCACAGGTGAGGTCTCCACTGCTGGCCGCATGGAGGGCCAGGTGCCTCTTATAGCCCAGCATGGTGTTGTACTTCTTCCCACACTCCTCACACCCAAAGGCCATTTTGTTGGGGTCGTGGGTCTGGAGGTGGTTTTTCAGGTGGTCTTTCCGGTTGAACGTCTTCTCGCAGTGAGCACACTGGTGAGATTTCTGGGGAGAATGGGTAGCCATGTGCCTAGAAGCAGAAGGAAAAATTTCGCAACAGAGAGTTGTTTTAAGGGCAGAGGAAAGGTATAGAAACAATATTAAATCAAAACGTTAATAGTTTTCTCTGCCTTTTGGTATAATTTTCATTTCTAAAATACTCATAAATTTTTCAAATACATAAAATTTTATAATTAAAAAATAAGCACTACAAAAGGCACAATGCAATTCTCACACTTATAAAGAAAATTCTTTAAAAGAATGCATTTTCCTAATGTATACAAACAGATTCATAAACAAATACAAGTATTTAAAAATATGTGATCATGAAAAATATTTTTCAGGAAAGGGTTAAACAGGCATTCTATATTCTTTGGAAATTCCCAAATTTCCAAAAGTGACCCAGTTTGCCTTCGCTGCAGAACCCCATAAACCCCGTTTTAAGTTATTGTTCCTAATATAATTCCTGTGTGCTATTGATTGAGACAAAAAGTTCAGGCCATAGGCATAAAGCTCCTGGGAGCCTCCTGAAGAGTCTATGCTTAATCTCGTAAGTGTCCGGCTGGACCCAGAGTCTCATCCTCGTGCCTCATCTCTATGCTAAGTCTTGGTTTCCTCCATGTGATTCTTTCCTATCAGCTGTCGTCTCGGATGTACGCAGCCCCCGTCTCCACTTCTTCAAGTTCCCTCTTGGACACCTTCAATCCACTTCCTAAAGGTCACTGGTAATTTCACTGGCAAAATTCAAAAGGACTTTTTCTAGAAAGACTAAGCTGCTACTCCTAATGACAGTTATAAGTTTTCCTTCAACACTGGTTTCAGGGACAAGCCACAGTCATCCTAGTCAATCTGGAATTTCAGAACAGCTATTTTATATTTATATTTGTAAAGCACAAATTAGTTTTGGAAAGCCATCACAATTCCATCTCTATTACAGTTCCACTGGATTCCTAAAAAAACTCTGTTGGTTTTTAAAAACTCAATGGTATAAAAGGGTAAAGCACAAATTAGTTTTGGAAAGCCATCACAATTCCATCTCTATGACAGTTCCACTGGATTCCTAAAAAAACTCTGTTGGTTTTTAAAAACTCAATGGTATAAAAGGAAGCCCTTAAATTTTTAAAAGGTTGATTTTAATCACTAAGTCACCAAGTGCTATATGTTAGTATTTCTTATAAAAGAATCCTTCCTTACAACTTGGGGCTTGCAGGTAATACCATAGGTTGCTTCATACCCCTCATGACAGTTATCTCCTTTAGGTGTTTTGTCTTCAGAGGCTAAAGCTTTTCTCCTGACAATTTAAATGCAATTGTACCCTTTGAGCTTGTGATTTGGATACAAAAAAATTTCTAAACAATTCATTCTTTAAAAAAAGATAGGATTTTTTATAGGATTTTTTTTAAGGCAGTTTAAGTCAAAAGTGTACTTAATTATACCTTTCACCCACCCACCTACCCTACATTGTCCATTCCTAATCCTTTTCTAGAGGTAGAGTTGGCAAGGGGTCTATAATAGCAGCTGTTTATAAGACAGTGGTGGTCCCCACTAAGAGGCAGACTGGAAGCCATTCAGAAAATATGAAGCTGCTCTGAATCAAACTTTCATTTTCTTAAAAATAAAGCAAAATCTCGTACCACCTTCTCTTCCTTCAAAAAAAGTAGCCTGCTATGTAGAGGGAATAAAAAGAAAAGTTAAGTTCCATCTTATCCCCGCAGGACACCACGGCTTGGCATGCATATGGGTACTGTAAGACAGGGGCAATGCTGAGAGACAGGAGCCAGCACAACACGTGTGTGAGAGATCTGAAATTACGCTGTGTCCATGTTCCAGACGTATTAAACTCATACATTGCAGAAAGGGTTTTTAGGGCAAATAACCATGTTGTTATACACGATACCCACATATGTATCGCAGGATTAAATACGAGGGAGCATGGGTTTGCAAACTTGGTATTTAAACCATTTTCCACTTGGCTCAGTGCTAGTAAACAGGACTGTAAAGCTGTCCTGGGTTTTCTATTCTTGCCTCTCTCCCATTCTTTGTGGAGGATTTTAATCTGATTGGATTATATTTATCACCCATGGATGGATCAATACCAGGTTAACAACTCTGGACCTGGTATTTCCTACACACTCTTTCCTGTCTACCTATGTACAGTGCCACACCTGTACTACCTATGAGTGGGACACAGGTTGACACAACTGATCACCACCTTTCAAATTTCACCAGCTCCCATCTCTCCGAACTTTTTGACTCTTTTCTTTGCCTGACATCCAATTCTTCCCCTTTTAATGTATCCCTCACTTACTCATGCAACTGTCCCAATCTACAACATTATCATCTTATAGCAGAAATTACTTCAACAACTTGTTTCCTTCCGTCAACTTCTCCTTACCTCACAACCCAGGAAACCACCAGCTTCAGTATGTCTTATGGTCAGCAGCAAATGCTACCATCTTTGGGTGTCATGTTGGTCATGTCAGTGATCTTAGATTTCATCAAGGGTGACTGTTCCCATTAGGACTTCCAACCATGGACTTCAGTCTGCCCTGCCAAACCATCTCTTCTTGCCCTTTGCTATCTCTACCTAACTGGTTTCATTGTGTGCTGTACTGAGACCCACGTTCTCTTTTCTGGTTAAGTGATCTTAGATTTCATCAAGGGTGACTGTTCCCATTAGGACTTCCAACCATGGACTTCAGTCTGCCCTGCCAAACCATCTCTTCTTGCCCTTTGCTGTCTCTACCTAACTGGTTTCATTGTGTGCTGTACTGAGACCCACGTTCTCTTTTCTGGTTAAGCAAGTCAGTTATTTTCTCCTTCAACTTCTGCTTATAAGATGGAGCTTATGTTGCAACTGATGGGAAATGGGTGGAATGCTGCCTATCATTCTTTCAAGCAAAACCTGAAGCATCCTGCCACCTCATCACTCTTCTATTCTTTTATTAGATCACTGCTTCAGGCCAGAGAGGCAAGAAGTGCTGGGGACCGTGGAGAGGCAGGCGGTTCTTGCATAAAGGACACTGTTTCCCTTTTTGCCTCACTTTGCACCCTTAGCTGAACAAGTCACTTCCCTTGCTTAGAACTACCACCTCCTAAGTATTGCTTAAGACATCTCCTTCAGCGTGGTTTACCACAGTAATCCCAACTTAGTCTACTCATTCCAGTAATCTGTTAGCTCCACTGTCTTTTCCAAATATTGAACTCCTGTATGTGTTTGGGTCTTTATCCACAGTCACAGTGCTCTCATTGTGGCTCAGCTGCAGCCAACATGCTTTCAGTGTTTGGGTAAGGATGCTTCCCTTATACACACGAGAAGCTGGAAGCAAAACAGGGAGTCTTTGCAACAAAATCGGTGCACACAATAGGCACTCAATACTTCTATTTATGATAACTAGAGAGTGGCCTATGTATGGAAGACAATGAAATCTTAAAATACCTAAGAATGCATGGGCTTATTTTAAAAATCCAATTACTATATTACATTATAACAGTGGTATTTTAAGGGCTAGGAGTAAAATTTATATCTTCTTTTCAACTCTTTTGAGTGCCTTCTTCCAGGAGCACTCCAAGATTTAATAATAATATGGTCCGTGTTAATACCACTAGGATGGAAAGTCTTGTACGCTAAATTTTGACTCTCACCAATGTATTTGCTTGTGAGTTGATCTGAAAGTTGAAGCTTTAATTTTGTGATGATTAGAGGCAAATAGCGCATTTCCCTCAGCCAGTATCAAAGGCGGTGTACGCTGGTGGGAGTTGTGGAAGCCACGCGTGTGTGGCTCTGGCGGTAGCACAAGCACAACACACACAGCATTCGCTGCCAACCAGACTACTGTGCGACTCATCTATCCCATGCATACTTTGTCTTTTCTATGTTATAAAAATCCTTTGGAGGCAGACACTACTACATCACATATATTCACTTCCCTTATGGAAGTGAGTACCCAAGAGGCACTCAAGAACAATGTGGATTAAATGTATATATACACACAGACATATATATAATATATATAATAATATATATATATTTAAAAGGGACTCATCTACTAAAACAGTGGTTTTATCTTTTGGTTTATCACGGATGCCTCCGAAAATCCGATTAAATGCATATACTCAGTATCAGTACACCCAACTGAACTCTACTTTTAAGGGTGACTTTTCAATCCAAGTTGAGAAACTGCGCTTTAAAAGCTTACACTTGGAGGCGCTTCCTCCTCTCCAACTTCGCTCTCAGGACCTGGACAAGCCCTCTGCATTCTGTACCTGGACTCTTACAACGGGTTACAAAGGAGTCTACTTGCTTCTTCTCCAAATTACTAGTCATCTTTCTAACATCCTGATCACATCACGTTGCTTCGCTACTTAGACTCATCAGAATAAAACAAACGCTTTCAGATGGTGGATAAGGCACCAATTCCTTCTTGCCTACATTCTCGGCCTCAACCCGCTCGCCCTCCACTACCACCCCTTGTACACAGGCACTTGGAAGCTAAGGCTTATGGCTTTCCCAGAACCTCCTTTCTGCCCACCTCCTTTTCATTATGTCACGGTTTAAGATTATCCCCTTCTGAGAAGCCTTTCCAGGTCTCATCAAGTGGTGAGGAACATCCTGCACCTGCATAGCTCTGCCCAAGTGCCGAGTGCGCATGTCAACTGAGTTGGCATGACCATCTCCCCAGCGTGGGTCTTTTCATCCTTCTGTTCTTACGCCTGGGGTAGTGCAGGTACACAAGAAGTGTTTGTTGAAAGAATGAACTGACACTGTACAGCAAAACTGTCACATAAAACCATACTAATCACCGAAAGAGTCCCTAAAAGGCTAAAATGCATCCACATCCTGCGTCCCTTTCCCCTTGCAGCATGTGGTCTGAGGGCTAGAAAGGTCATTTAAAGGTACCTGTAAAAGTGCATACCTTTTCTAAAGCCTCTCACCTCATCAATTTATATCTGGAAACAAAGGCTTTGCCACACTCAGGCTGCAAGCACTTGAACGGCCGCTCCCTGGAGTGGGAATAACTGTGAATAGTGAACTTCTCCAGGGTAAGGAACTTCTTGCCACATAATTGGCAGGGGAACGTGGCCATGGGCTTTGCTTCTCACACTTTCCTTTTCAGATATGCTGCCCAAATGCTGTGCCATTTAAGCACAAAAGGAGGAGGGATGGTGCCGGGCACATTAGCAGAGTCTCTGCAGCTGAACTCCAGAGCAAGGGAGATGCAGCCCTGTGGGCCCCTCAGTCACCACTAGCTCTGCTCCCTGCTTCCCCAAATCCCAGTTCATACGCAGTCTCAAGCTGGGGGAGAAAGTCTGAGGCACAGATGAGATTCAGGAGCAGGAAGGTCACCTGCATCACTAGAGCTGAGGCATGTCCTGGATCACCAGACTGTCTGTGGAGAGAAGAGGAACAGTTTCCTTGCATTAGCCATTTGAAAACAATGCTTTCCTCACCTACCACTTCTGAATCAACTACCCAGAATCAACCTGTTCCTTTAAATGGCTCTGACAGAGCGCAACCCTCCATCCTCCTGGTGTCCTTCGATAGGCCCTTGTGCAGATAAAGCCACCCATCTGTGCTTCTCCTGAGTGGCCAGGAGTCAAGCAAACAGCCAATGTGCTGAGACCGATGAGGCACATTTTCCTTTGTGATAAGGACAGTTCTTTCCACAGACTGAATATTATCTACTTCAAACCATGATTTCAGGTCAGTGTGAGGCTCAGTTGACCAAGTCAAAGGGAAAAAAACTCCCCAGTGTGTTTGAGTGTTTTACTGGTATAGAAACAAAAATCACCCTTGCTTATTCAAACCAAAGGCTTTTCCTCTTTGCTCGCTGTTAGCGTAAGTTGTTTATGACACCTGCTTAAACTTCCAGAGGATGAGAAGATGAGAAGAAATAACTCGTATGCATCTAAGTTAACTGTTTGTAAGAGCACTTCGCACAAGGACTGATGTAAACAAAACGTGAGTAAAGCTGGTCTGGTTGCACTGATGTGGAGGTACAAATATTCCTGTGGACACAAAACAGATGGCTCAGGCCACAGGTAGATTTGTCCGTACCATTTTCTAGTAAATTGTTCTACTAATGTCTTCTAATGTCTTCCCCTTTTGTTTGTGGGGACATCTGCTCATTCCCCAGCCCCACCTCAGAGGGCCAATCCAATGACCTGTTGAGAGGCCACTTCAAGGAGGTGGGCCTTTGCCTCCTCAACCTCAAGCTATCTCAAATGCAACTCATCATCCCTCCAACCCAGCCAAAGTCACTGAAAACCAGGCTCAGGCCATCATTTGAGGAACCTCAAGTATCTGAGGCTGCATCATGAACAATACAAAAAAATCCTGGATAACTAGAGTCCCGTGCTATTCTAGAGGGAATAATTCTCAGGTAGGGGATGCTACCATTCCAAGTGCCAAATACTTAGAGTACTATATGCTTACATTAAATACACTGAGTAGCTTCTGTACACAGGCCAGCCTTTTCTGAACTTTGTCAAGTCAGCAGGGCGCGTATGGTAAACTGATCATTCACAGCAAGTCTTTAAACTCTGATCCCTCAAGTCATTCATTTATTGCCAAGTCGTTAGAGTTGCTCTTTATTGCTAAAAATTAATTTTTATTTATCTTTCCAGTTACTTTCAGATCAGAAAGCTGGAGTCTAGCTAGATGAAACTTTTATAACAGTTCAAGCATCTTTAAAGTTATCCATACATAGCACATGTACATAGACATACATAACATTCCTTTTCTAATTAGCACACATTGCAGGAAATGTGTAGCATTCCTCATCTCCTGTCTGGGATGGTTTTAGTGTCTGGTTAGAGTTCACAGCACCAGGCAAATACCCCTCATCGTCCTGCCCTGCCCACATGGAACCTTTAATGCTTACTAAGGCACTTTGACTTGAAGGTTCAGCACTCACCCAAAGCAAGGGACACACAGGCATCCCCAGCCAGCATCTTGGCACCAAACCTTTTTTCTGATGCTTCTGATTCTAGCAGTGCAGATATCTTGTTCCTTTGCGACCAAGTGCAACTTTAACTGGGCTCCTGTCCTGGCTCTGCCCAAACTCCTCTCCCCCAACCCCTTGCTTCCTCCTAGTATTCCTGCACATGCCTGAGCAGCCCTCACCGGGAACAAGATAATTCCTTGTAGGAATTCTATCTCCCATGCCAAGTTCGTGCTACCAGGCCCCATGGTCTGTCCTACTCATCCATCTGTCTGCCATGATACTGGCCCAGCTATAAAATACACTCATTCACTTGAAATTGCTCTGTGTTCTTTCCAGGTCTATTTAAAAAGATTAAAACACACATAGATTATTATGAAGTTTGAAATGCATCATTTCCTCCTACCCTTTATAGCTGAACTCAAAATAGCACTCATCACTTTGGAGAAGGAGCTGGTTTGGTGGGGAGGTTTTGTATTTCTCTCAGATACTTCCCAATTCCCTACATATATACTTTTCAGTTTATCTCAGTAAATTTATTCTTCCCAACTCTCGCTTTATTGGATGACCAGTGATGCCCAAAAGAATTTCCTGTAATGACGTAAATGTTTTACATACATATATGTACACACACACACACACACACACACACACACACACACACACACACACGTATGACAGCTACTGAAAACTCAAAATGTGCCACTGAGAGACTGACATTTTTATTTCATTTAACTTACTTAGGGTTAGGTGTATTAAATGCATTTCAATTTATGATGCAATTATGTCCTGATAAACCCATCATAAGTCAAGGAGCATCTGTATGTGATAGTGAACTTTCTTTAATTTCTTCAGGAAAGTCTTTAAGTATGAATTCAAATTCATAGTGGTAACATTTCAATCACCATAACAGTGTACTTCATAAATACGGACCTTAGAATACAAATATTTGCACTGTTTTCATGATATAATCACCTTATAATCATGATACAAGACGTCTATAAAAACAAAACTGTCTTTTGCAACAGACCATACTCTTTGTGGCTGGGGATTAAAGCTCACCTATTTAAAAAAATAAAATAAACTGTGCAGATATATACAACCTCTCTCATGACCATGCACTTGATAGGGACTGGCTGTATACTGATGATTCTAATCTTTGCTTGAAACCTGATTCACTTTCTGGCCACGTCCTTAAAACAGACTTATGATTACTTTCTATTATTTGGCAAACCACCAACAATCCTAAAGAGAACTGACAAAGTGATGGTCCTGATGAGAGTTAGTCTGTTTTGTGACTCGACATACAGATGCCTTTGAGTCTTAAATACAGTACTACTGTAACACCTGTCACCCTAGATAGTAAGTCTTCCCCCAAAACATCACAGGACATAATTTTCAGTCCCCTTGATTCTAAAAATACTGAGTGAGTGATACAGATCTGCCAGTATGCCAAAGAAGGCTTGTGCCATCTGCTTCATTCTGCTCATGCTGATTATTTTAGGGATAAGAGAGGATCAGAGTGGAATAAGAACATATATATATATATATGTGTGTGTGTGTGTGTGTGTATATATATATATGGCAACAGCCAGGAAAGACTGTGCTGCCTGGGGCCTGGGGGTATACGATGGCAGAGGGGAGGTCAGAGCACAAGTGTAGTCCTAGGACTTCCCCAATCCTGCATAACACTATATATATGGCAACAGCCAGGAAAGACTGTGCTGCCTGGGGCCTGGGGGTATACGATGGCAGAGGGGAGGTCAGAGCACAAGTGTAGTCCTAGGACTTCCCCAATCCTGCATAACACAATCATCTAATGTGGGACAGCTGTTTTACAACATCCTCAAAATAAACTATGACTTCTGGCTTCTATTTCCATTGTCCCCAGTGCCAATGCAAAGCCTGTTTCTGAAAGGAAACTGAATTTTCACTTTGGTCTTCCAGCAGGAGCACTCTACGTTCCTTCTTCCTCCATCATCATCACCCCTTAGAATCCCGAGACCTGGGATTGTTTGTATACGAATATGTTAAGGCCAATTTTAAAAGGGCCTTTAACGAGGTTCTGTTTCTTCTTATACTCATAAACTATGAAATAGCCAATTGTGGAACAGGATGAGTGGAAATTCTTTGCTTATCTGGCCCTAGGAAGTTTCTAGAAAGGCTGCTTTCCTCAATATCAGTTCTTAGAAGGACTTTGGTAACACGACTCTATCATCAAATTTAAAAAACATTCAGAAACATCAGCTGGTGAAAGAAGATGTTCTGAACCTCTAGGCAGTGGTTACTGCTTATTTTTTATTATGCACATGTGTTATAAAATGTGCTAGGGGCTGTGTCTGAGTGCAGTTTCAGAAGAGTTAGGTCTCACTATATGTCTAATGAGGAAAAATGGTGCTCATGGTGCTGGACTAACATGAACACATGAGGCTCTGATAAGGACCTCAGAGTACGGCTGTCACTGGGTTACCAGCCTTCACTTACAGCAGGGCTTGCCAAGTGGGGCCCATGGTAGGGCTTCAGAGCGCCTGAGAATTCTCTGGAATTCTGTGCAAAATTAGGGAGAATGTGTATTGGAGTTCTTATGGGTACAGGAACCATAGCTTTCTTCATATTTTCTAAAGGGTCCTAGATCCCAACTGGTTGAAGGATACTGACTGAGATAAGAAATTAAAGAAAATCCTTCTTGCTGCTATCAATTTAGTTTGACTCTTCACAAAGTCATTGATATTTCCTAATCCATTGGACACATGTTTTGTGTCTGCATTTTATCAGGTTGAAGTTAAAAAAAAAAAGATTCTATAATAATGTTTTCCTGAAATTCAGGTAGTAAACAACTTGCACAAATTTTATTTTAAATATGGGTATAGGCAATCATTTCACAGGTCCTGTCACATAAGACAGGCCTACCTATGACTAGAGAACAGGCTGCCCTACAAAATCACAGGGTTCATTTGTCGGCATCCTTAAAACTCTTTTATTAAAAAAATATACATCCTCGAGAAAGTACTAAGATATTATTAAAATCCATCAACACCTGAGATGACACAGCTCTTGCAGGAGGGCACTTGCCTGGGATGAACTCCTAAACTGGATCCACAAGACCTGTCACCCTGCTGTATCTACAGACATCTCTCCCACAGTAGCCCAAAGGCAAGCAAGGGCAAAGATAATCCACTTGCTATTTCCTTAATGTGCTACCTTCTCTCATGCTTCCGTGTTCACCTTCCAGGAATGTCCTGCGATCCCTTGTTCACCAGGCAAACTGCTACTTTTCTTTGTCACTCCAAGGAAGAGGAATGAGTTCCTCTTCCACATGGTGACGGGTTTACTCAACAGTCTAGAAGACAACTCCACTTATACATGTTTGAAACAGTTTTGCCTCGGTTTACGCTCATTGGTGGGAGGCACCGACGCCCCACCTCTCTATTCTGCTCTGGGGAGAG